AATTTGCTTCATCCTTCATGACCTTTCATGATAGGTGTTACTGTCTACTTGACTTCTTCGTCTCATGTTGTGATATCACAGTAGCTGCCAATTCCGCTTGCTCAATCTTTGCCAGTAGTTGGAGTGATAAATTTATCTGCAAATATAAAGGGAGGGAAAGTCACTTGTTTCGCCCTGAGAAGAAAACCACAAATACAAATGTTCACATTTGTGTCAGCCGTTGTGGCTTGAATCATCTGAATTTTGGAAAATGCCATTATAAAAAAATAATAGCAGTAAGTATAGTATTTGTTTGGTAGTATTATGTATTAGTTTTCTATGGCTGCTGTAACAAATTATAACAAACTGGGCAACCTAAGACAAGAGAAATTCATTCTCTCACAGTTCTGGAGGCCTGAAGTTTGAAATGAAGGCATTGGCAGGGCCTTGCTTCCTACAAAGGCTGCGGGGGAGAATGCTTCTTCCTCCAAAAGCTGTTGGGTAGAAACAGAATGTTTCTTTCGTTTTCTGGTAGATTCAGGCATTCGTTGGCTCTTGGGTCCATAGCTACAATTTCTGCCTCTCTTCACATAGCCTTCTCCTCTCTGTTTCTTCCCTTCTATTTCTTATAAGGACGCTGTCATGGGATTTATGGCCCATCTAGGTAATCCAGAATGATCTAATCTCATATCCTTTACTTAATTACATCTGCAAAGACCCTTTCCCCAAAAAGATCACTTTCAGAAGTTCCCATGGACATATCTTATTGGGGCCTGCCAATCAATCCCTACACATTATATTAGATGCATAGGGGTCAGTACAACAAATGATTACATAAATAGATGCCAGCTACTGTTAATTTTACAAACAAGCCCAACAGTGTTGCTAAGGCTAGTCATTAGCCTTCAGATTGAATTTATTAAAGAACTAATGCAGTACCAATGAGACTAATAAAATATTATAGTTACTTCTCTATCTTGCATATTGGAATAAAGCCCTATTAAAAGATTGATAAATCCTGATCATCAGACCTGACACGCTGCTATTTAATAAACTA